AAGAACTCGTTGAAGGCCACATGGCCAGGAAGTGGTGGAGGTAGGATTTGAACCCAGGTTCCCTGGCTCCAGGGTCCACTGTCAATCACTTAAACCATCCGGGATGCCTTGTGACCCTAATGCACCAGAATGAACCACAAGGTACCGAACTCTGAAGTCTGCCGTATCTCAGAATTTCATATTCATTTGGAAATGATTTCAGATGACACTCAAATCTCCTGCCAATGAACCACCCACTAAGTGCCGGATGCCGTGCCATATGCTTGGCCCAAGTGACCCACTGCACATAATTCGCAACAGCTCTTTTGGCATAGATATTGAGATCACATTCTAGAAAAGCACCCCAGGATAGTGGGGCCTCAGCATGGACTCCAGAGCCAGACTGCTAATTCTAGCTCTGCCTCTACTTCTGCATCTTAGCAGCTGTGTGACCTGGGAAAAGTGAAAGCACCTCTCTGGGCTTCTGTTTCCCCATCTGTAAAATGGGACTAATGATAGGCTTACCTTAGAAGGCCCTAATGGGACTTCCCTGGCAGTCCAGAGGTTAAGACTCCATGCTTCCACTGCAGGGAGCGCAGGTTCGATCCCTGGTTGGGGAACTAAGACCCCACAAGCCGCGCGGCACAGCCAAAAACAAAAAGCCCTGATGAGGACCAGATAAGCAACAGAGTCAAAGGGCTTGGTTGGTACTGAGCCTGAGACACATTACTACCTAGTCTGATTTTAGAAATGAGAAAGCAGAAGCTCAGAGAAGTTACTAACATGATGGAGGCTACACAGCACCTATGTGGCATGTAAGACAAGAATCGCGATGCTGGAGTGGTCACTTCTGTGAGCCAGGCCTTCTGCTAAGACAACTAATGCTTACAACAATCCCTTGAGGCAGGGACTGTCAAGGTTCCCATTTTTTAAGTGAAGAAAGTAAGGTTTAGGGCTTCCCTGGTGGCGCAGTGGTTAAGAATCCGCCTGCCAATGCAGGGGGCACGGGTTCGAGCCCTGGTCCAGGAAGATCCCACATGCCGCAGAGCAACTAAGACCGTGCGCCACAACTACTGAAGCCCGCATGCCTAAAGCCCGTGCTCCACAACAAGAAAAGCCACCAAAATAAGCCCATGCACTGCAATGAAGAGTAGCCCCTGCTCACCGCAACTAGAGAAAGCCCGCACGCAACAACAAAGACCCAAGGCAACCAAAAATAAATAAATAAAATAAATAAATTTTTAAAAAAGAAAAGAAAGTAAGGTTTAGCAATGAGTCTATGGAATTACAGCTCTGGCATTGCTGATGGCACAGCCCCCATCTTGGGACCAAGTTCCAGGAGCTACGGCTTCAGGGTGGTTCCTGGGGTCCCAGACTGGAGAGGAAGGATGTGAGAGCTCCACGTGACCATCAGGGAGAGAGGCAGCTATGTGATAGAAAGGCAAGAGTTGTCATTATTACAATTATCAATTAATACTAATATGAGGATCTGGTGGGGGCCATTTGCAACAGGTGCCATGAGTCAGAAAAGAGCTTCAGAGGTGACTCAAATACAGGGGTGACAGTCAAAATATTCGACACAGCAACACCAGTCCAAATCCGTCTATAAGCATAGAAATCAGAACAGTGGTTGCCTTGTAGTGAGGGTGAGGTAGGGAGTGCTGGCTGGAAAGGAGCTCGAAGGAACATCCTAGAATGATGGCGGTGCTGTCTTGATGGGGAGTTGGTTACACAGGTATTATACAGGTTACAAAGATATTACAAAATTCAAGGACTGTACACTTAAAAACAATCTGTGCATTTTTCTGTATATAATTAGATCTTAGTTTAAATGTCTATTTATGTGTATATATATAAATGTGTGTATTTAACCACAGGTTAACATTTTAGCTGCTGGGTTGGCCTGAGGTGCAGGGGGTTCCAGGGGCGGGGTCTCTCTGGGAGTTTGGGTTAGTGGCTATTTATTCACTGGAGCAGATACACCTCTGTTTTAATAACCATTTTAACAACGAATATGGCCACAGAAGTGTGATCCACCCTGCTCAAATGTCTCAGCTTCCAGAGATCCTCCTGGGCTGCCCCCTGGTTTTATTATAACACCTCCATGCTCCCTCTTCCCTGCCTGCTTTATCTTCCTCCATAGCACGTCACCACCTAAAATACTCTATGGTTTGCTTGTTTATCTTCTTTATTGCCTTCTCCTCCAGCTTGATCAAGAGCTCCATGAGGGCAGATCTGTCCGTCTTGCTCCCTGCCGTGTCCCCAGTGCTCCAAACAGTGCCAGGCCCTTAACAGATGCTCCACAGATATTTGGTAAATGACGAACAATATTATAATCTAAAGCTAACACTTACTCAGCACTTGCCATGGGCCAAGCACTTGGCTCAGTGCTTACATGTAAGAATTCGTTTAATCCTCGAAACTGTCCTGTGAGGGAGGTGCTACCATCACTCCTGTTTCACATGTGGGGAACCTGAGTCTCAGAGCAACGCGCTTGCCCAAGGCCACAGAGCTAGTCAGTGGCAGAGCCAGGATTCAAACTCAGTCCTGGCAGACCCCATAGGTGTTCAAGACCTGTGTTCACAGAAAGAGGGTGTGACCAGCAGGGAGACTCCATATGTAGATGGCGCCAGAGTTCTAGAACCAGGGAGTCTCGGGCTGACCTGGGTGGGCCCTGGGTAGATGTGGGCATTCTAGGGCATTCTAGGGCAAGGAGTCTGTCTTTTCCAGAGCTGGGCAGCAGGGTTTGTGGTGATGGGTAACTAGACGATACAGACAGTGGAGGTTCACATCTCAGAACTGTAGGGAGGGTGTGCCACATACTGGAGAGGGTACTGGAGGTTCACAGCAGGGGCAAGGAGGGGCCTCTCAGACCCAGTGGGTAAGGACTATGGCAAAGAGGGTCCTTCAGGATTGGGGTGTGGGCTACCCAAGATGTTGATCAGGCCATGGGGTTCTGGAATCGGAAGCACCTCATTTAGAGGTAGAGATGAAAGGGAACGGTAAGGGGACTGAGTTCTAGAAAGTGGAATGAAAGTTGTGTTTGTGGGTGTGGGGAGAGTGGGAAGGGCTTCCAGGAAGTGGGTACAAGAGGTAAATGGCAGTTCCCAGTAGGTGAGGTTGAGGATCCCGGAAGTGAGCCATAGAGAACCCGGAAATGGCTTTAAGGGGTCCTGAAGTAGACACCAAAATTCCCAGAAGGGGTGACAGGATCCCAGAAGTGGGACCACCAGGATGCCGGAAGGGAGCCTCAGGCATCCCGGAAGCAGGTAACTGGATTCCCGGAAGGAAACCAAGCCGCAGCCCTCCTCACCCAGAAACGGGACAGATGCCTTTTCCAAGAGCGCAGTCCGGAGAGGTAGATCTCCTGCAACATCGGGGCACTGAGCTCCACTTCTCCCGCGTCCGAAGTCAGCGAGGGTCGGAAGCCCACGGCCTGGTGCGCTTCAGCCATGTCACGCTACAGCCCTGGGAGGAGGACAGAGGGTCATTCTCCAGACCCCCAGCCCCTTCTCCGCAGACCCAGGGATATAGGACGCCAGCTCACCCTTCCCTAACCACCTGAGGGGTCTTGAGGGTCCTGGCCGAAGACTCCGGTATCGGGAGGACTTCAGTTGGGGACCTCTGTGAACGCACAGAAAGGCAGGAGGGATAATTTGTGGGATAATAGCCCTTTTGCGGCTATTCTGAGAACATCGTGCGGGGACAGTGCCCCCCCCCCCGCAAGGGCCTTTCAAGATTCGGGGTTCGGGGCGGGAAACCGGTCCAGGGTGAGTTGCGGGATCTCGGGAAAAACATTAGTCCCAAACCCATTTGAAATGAACACCTGCCGGACGTTGGCATTGTCCACTCCATTTCCGCTTCCCATTCCAAGGCTGGGGCTGGGGGGTGGGAGTGAGGGGGGATTTGGGTGGGGGTTCTCTATAAATTCATACGCTCTGGGGTAGCCCAGCGTCCCCTCCCCCCGCCCCCGGGCTGAAGGGGATGCGGGGGGGAGAAGCACCCTACTGCGCATGCCTCGCGGGCAGGGATGCTGAGGCTGAGAGCAGAGGCGAGCGTCGAGGACAAGTGATGGAGAGGCCCGCACTCCCAACCCAAGACACAATCCTCCAGCCCCCGCAGGAGCTCGGGCCCCTCCAGTCCGGCACTTACCACGCTGAGTCAGGGGTCCGCCGATCGGATCCTGGAGACCAAGCCCGAGTACACCCCCCCGACCCCCGATTTAGAGCGCCGGACTCAAGCCTCCCACTTGCATATGCCCAGTCCCAGTGACTATGAGTCCAAGACTTGGTCGATGGGCCTCCGGAGCACCTGTCCGCCTCCAACTATCCAACATCCAGGAACCCGGATTTCTGTCTAACGGGTGCCTCGCCGAGTATTCAAGTCCCAGGTTTTAACCCCGCCTCCTTCCAATCTTCTATCCCCGCCCCCTTCCAATCCCCGCGCTCAGTTCCCGCCCCCTTATCCCAGCGTCCAATCCCCTCCGTCCTTTCGATTCCCAGCCCACAGACTCCTACCCGCCTGATTCTCCACCAATGGGCCTCCCCCGTTCTACGCAGCACTTCTCCTCCGAACCCCACTTTCTTCGACTCTCCAGTCCACTCTTTGTCTCTTTTCTTTCTCTTTGAGGAAGGAAGCTCAGCTTGGAACTCACAGCCCACGCGCGTGGGAGCCAGAGTGAATCTCAGCCCTACCACCCAGGAGAGGGGGGAGGACTGCTTTGGGGTCAGGTCGGCCCACTAAAACCACCCACGGAAGATGCAGCTGCAGGGATTAAGTTGGCGTGGAGGTGCTACAGCAGATTGGATTCAAGTTAGTCAGAGGGACTTCCGTGAGGGGAAAAGTGCGTGGGTAAAGGTGAGGGGCTCAGGGACCGAGCTCAGATTGGGAGGCCAGAATGGGCACAGACAAGCAGAGACTGAAACATGGAACTCTCGTTTTATTCGGCTCTGGACGTTACTATTCTTTGTCCATGCTGGGTCCGGTGTGCACGTGGTTCAGCCCAGTCGCTGCCTGGGGAGAGCCCAGGAGGTGGAGTTAGGGGAAAAGAAACTTGGGGTCACGGCCCCGATACACAGATGGGTAGACTGAAGCCAGGGGACGAGCAGAGATGTGCCCAACATCACCCAGAGAGCCGGGCACTGCGCTGGCCTCCTTGCCTCAGGCTGGGGTCCTGGAGACGCAGCAGGAGTCTGGCCGCGCGCCGCCGGCGGCGCCCATAGCTGTGGGGATCCTGAGGCTTGCGGCCCGCCTTCCCTGAGAGCTCCTTGGTGGAGGCAGAGCGGAGCCAGTATATGATCTCTGGCAGGCGGTGCGTCTGGCACGTGCCCAGTGAACAGAGGTGCCTGTGCTGCTGGGAGACCTGGCGCTGGGGCCGCCTGGGGATGGAGCGTGAGAGAAAAGCGGGTTCAAACAATCCACTCGAGAAATGGAGCCCTGTGGGCGACCCGGAACTGCGAGATTGGCGGGCGCGTTTCCTGATCAACTTCCGATTCCACCGAAGCGGAAAACCGCCTAGAGAGGTCGCACGCCCCTCGCGGTCTCCCTCCGGCTCTGTCCCCGCTGACACCGGCGTTTCTCACCTGCCCGCGGAGTCCGGGTCCCCCAGGGTGGAGGAGGCGAGGAGCAACAGCAGGAGGATGTGGGCTGTCATCGTGGGGGTGGGGCGGGCGGGGTCCGAGAAACCGGTGGGTGAAGCGGCTCGTCTGGGCTGCCGCCCCACCCCCTTCCCGGGCCTGGAAGATGCCTCCTGAGCGCCTGCTTCAGTGCGAGGAATCCGGGCGTCCCCACTTCTCAGGCCGAGAAAACGGAGGCCAAGAGCCACACCACGCCAGAAGGGCAGGATTAGGATCCGGACACCCACCTCCCGCACCGCGGCCACGGAGCCCTCACGGGTCCCGCCGAGGTGCTATCTACGCCCCTGGGAAGCCTCGGGAGACGCGACCCCTTTAAGGCGGAGAGAGGAGGGGCGGGGCAGCTGACACCTGCAAGTGACGTCGCAGCTTCTGGCTTCCAGGAAAGGGGTGGGGGCGGGGAAGCGCTAGGCTACTTAGATGCGAACTCACCCACATCTGTCAGGGACCAAACTAGCGTTAAGTCTCAGGGGACAGGCGACTTCCAGAGAGGGGGCTGGGCAATGTGGGACACTGGCAATTGGGACGGGTAGCAAAGACAGCCACCTGAAGTTGTAGAGAGAGTCTGAGCCCTAACACCCTCCTGGTAGAAGAGGAATAGGTGTAGACGGGTGTGGGGTGCAGGCAGGCCTAGAGCTCCAGCTGTACTGAAGCAGGTGTAGGAGGGCCATGGAAAGAAAAGCCTGGGATTCCGTCTCCGGTGATCCAGGTCGTGTGGACAGAGACCTGGGGGACCAGCTACTCGAGAAAGGAAGGGCAGGCACGTGTAGACACCATGTCGGCAGCAGGGGCTGAAAAGACAGCCCCTGGGGAGTTGTGAAGCAGGGTAGTGGAGCCTCAGTGTGCATCTCCGTAAAGTGTGGCAGAGGGTGGGAACCCCCCGAGCTCCGAGCCAGGATGCGGGAGGTAGCAGGCACCCACCCCCACAAAGAACTCTATCCCCGGACTTCCCTGGTGGTGCAGTGGTTAAGAATCCGCCTGCCAATGCAGGGGACACACGTTCGAGCCCTGGTCCCCTGGTCTGGAAAGATCCCACATGCAGCGGAGCAACTAAGCCCATGCGCCAGAACTACTGAGCCCGTGTGCCACAACTACTGAAGCCTGCGTGCCTAGAGCCCGTGCTCCGCAACAAGAGAAGCCACCACAAAGAGAAGCCCGCACACCAAAACGAAGAGTAACCCCCACTCAGCGCAACTAGAGAAAGCCTGCGCTCAGCAACAAAGACCCAATGCAGCCAAAAATAAATAAATAACTCTATCCCCCTCCAACACAACCCCCCGACTCAGTTTCCCCAGATGGAGAAGGCAGGTCAGTAGTCACTGCCAGTCAGCCCTGGTTTGGCCTTGGAGGGTCCTGGACAGGAAAGAACAGCCAGAGAGGAACAATGTGTGTGATGGGGGAAGGCGGGAGAGAGAGCTTTCTGGGGAACTTAAGGGCCCAGCTGTGCCGGGAACCCACACCCCAGCCCTCCCCCAACCCAGCAGGGCAGCTGGGAGCAGAAGTCTGGCCCAGTGGGGACAAGAGGGACCAGGGCCTCAGGAGGCCCGAGAGGGAGGTGGGGGGAACAGACCCCGAGAGCCAGTGGAGAAGGCCCTGCGAGTGACCTGAGGGCAGAGGTGGGCCAAAGACTTGAGAGCAGGGCTGTGGAACCCCAGAGACGGCGGGGGTGGGGTGGAGGTGTAGTAAGACCCAGAGACACAGAACTGGTGACAGAGACCGGCAGCCACCAGCAGGCGCTGTCCCCACGCTCCGGGTGCCTGGCATCTCAGCACCTAAGGACGGAACCCCAACCCCACTTCGCCCCCAGGAAGCTGAGCCGTCCCAGCTGAGGATTTATTGGCGTAAATGCAACCATATAAAAACATAAGTTATGAAAAACACAGTCACGATGTGCCCGCAACCCCCCACCCCCGCCCCGGCCCAGGCCCCAGAAACCCCCTTCTGTGGGAGGGAGGGAGAGGAAGGGGGAGCCCCGAAACTGCCTAAGAACGCTGCAGCCCCTGGGCCCTTGCAGGGCCGGCCCGGCCGGGGTGGGAGAACCCGGATGCTGCCTCAGCGCATCCGGTAGTCGGTGGAACAGGACAGCTCGCACAGCTGGCCTTTGAAGTCCAGATCAATGGTGAAGTCCAGGTCGCGCTGTGGGGAGAGTGCGGGCGTGAGGGGGAACCTGGGACAGGGCAGGCCAAGACAGAGGGCAGCGGGGGTGCGGTAGGGAGGGGTGGCCACCCCAGCCCACCTGAGGTGCCGTGGGCCCCCCGGCTGTCTACACACCCTCCCCAGAGACCCCACACTGCCGGTCCCACTCCCAGCATCTGTCTTGAACCCCACCTGACTCCCTGTGAGAAGCTCCATGTGACATCCTCAAACCACCTAGAACCCAGCCACGCCCCCCACCTTGGGTGGGGTGGCAGAGCTCAGCTGCTGTCTCTTGCATCCTGATTTCCCCCATCAAAACCAGCCCCATCAGCAGGTTATTTTCTCCTTCTTTTACAAGAAGCAAACTTCCTCCTCTCAAAAAGCTCTGTGGTCCCACCCCACCGTCCCCACTTCCTCTCCTCCAAGGCTTCCTGGACGCCAACCCTCTTGTGCCCATCACCCCCAGCACGCTGGAAAAACTGGGACAAAGTCACCAATGACCTCAATGACTTTTGCCCTCAGTCCTCACTGCACTTCACCCCTGGCTCCCAGCTTCCTCCTCCCTCTCTGGGTCTCTTTCAGTTTCTAGTTTGCGTTTTCTCCACCTCTGCACTACTGACATCTAGGGCTGGACCACTCCTCGCTGTGGGGGATTCTTATCTTGTGCGCTGCAGATAGAGCAGCTCCCCCGCCTCTACCCACTAGATGCCAGCAGTACCCCTTCTTCAGTTGACACCCAAAATGCCTCCAGACGATGACATGGGTGGGTGGGGCAAAATCATCCCTGGCTGAGAATAGTTGCTTAAACCGGTTCTCATATCCCTGACTTAGAAAGCGGGCACACCCACACTGGCCCCGCAGAAGCTCCTGACTTTGCCCTAGACCTGCTTCCCCACCGTGTCTCAGGCTGATGGCAGCTCCATCCCGCCAGGTACTCAGGAGAAAAAAGCAGGGGAAGAGACGGTCCTCCTTTCCTTCCTTCACCCCCATACCTGGGCAAGGATATCCTGTCAGCTCTCCCGCGGGCCCCGCCCCCACCTGCTCCAATACCTGCCGGCCCCTTTCCCAGCTGGACACAGAAGTCACCTCCCACTGGCATTTACCACGTGACTGTCCTGTGTCTAGAACATGAGTGCCAGGAGGGCAGGGGTTCAGCCTGATCACCGCTGGGGCCCCAGGGCCCCCTAGTTTCTAGTAGGTACTCAATAAAACTGTGGTCCATAGACAGACCTGGGGGGCCCCCAGACAGATGAGGTCAGAGCAGAGTGTAGCCAGGTTGGCTGGCAGGCTTGGGGCTGAGGGGTGCTGGGGCCCCAAAACGCCTGAGTCTACCCCGCCCCCAGAGCCTCACGTTGTTCTTGGCATTGGGCCGCATGCCAATGGTGCCAAAGATCTCCTCGCCCGTCTTCACCGTCAGGTAGTCCTCCATGTAGAACACCGTCTGCTTCCAGTGCGTGTATGGGGACTCAGGGCCTGGCGGGGGAGGCGGGTCAGCCGGGCTCACCCGCCTCCTAACCTTCCCAGCCCACACCTTCCCCTCTGCCCGGACACCCCCCTTGTCAAGCCTGGGAGGGGCTGTTTCACGGGTGGGGAAGCGGAGGCACCGCACGCTCAGGTTGGCTGGCAGAGCCGGCGTCAGAACCTGGGTCCTCGATGTCCCCGTGGCTCCCTCTGGCCACTCCTGTCACATGCCCCACGGCCCCTGGGCCCCCGCCGCCCCAGGGCCCCGCCTCACTGGTGGAGAAACCGGTCCTCTTGTGGCAGCGGGTGAACTCGATGTTGAAGTAGGCCACCAGCGCATGCACGTAGTCGTTCCGCTTCACTTGCAGGCAGAAGGGGGAGGTGAAGGTCAGGTCTTCCACCTTGACAGTGTAGATGTCCACCTCCTGCAGAATGAGCCTCGTGAGCCCCACTCCCCGACCTCCGGCCCAGCGGGGAAAGCTGCGGGTGCCCCGCTGGATGCCCTGTTCCCTGCTCTCCCAACTCCAGCCCGAATTCGACAGTTCGACCTCCTACAACAACTACTGGTCCTCAGAGAACCGCCCGTTTTCCCCTCTCCACTGCCTGTACCCTGCCCCTGGCCACCATCCCCACCTCCGATGCGGCAGCATCTTAACAGGGTTCCATGGCTCCCACCCTCTCCCCCCACATCCCTTACTCCACGTTATCAGCCAGTGCGACAGTTTAAAAACAGATCATGTCACATCCCTGCTTAAAATCCTTTGACTGCTCCCCGGTGCACTCAAAGCAAAACCGTGACTCCTGACTCAGGCCACGGAGGCTCGCCCAGTCAGGGCGTCTGCCCTGCCATCTCCCTCTACAAACTCCCTCCTCCACCCAGTTTTGCCCGCCATGAGCATCCCAGCAAGATTTGATACTGTGGGTCAGGAGGGAGACCTCAAAAAATGATGGCTGCTGGTAGTCTTTATCAGGGATCCATGTGTGTATAAACTCACTCGTGGTGCTGGGCTTTCTGCATTTGGTGGCCCTGCCTGGGGTCTTAGCTGCCTGCCTTGGGCGGACGTGCCCTCCGGGAGGTGTGCCTTGGGAGCAGGGCCAGCCTACGTCACTGCCTTGCTCTGGAACCCAAGGGCCTTGCCTGGCTCACAAAGCCCTTTAAATGAAGTGGCTTCTCCAGGCGTCTAGCACCACCTCCAGCAGATCCGTCAGGCTCCCAAGACCTTGGGCAAGCAAGCACTCTGTGCGCCGAGGTCCCACGCACTGGCCCTTCTTGGGCTGACCCTGCGGGACACCCAGCCACCCCACCCCCTCACCTTTATCAGGCAAGCGTTGGTGACCAGCTGCTTGGGGTCCACCACATCCACCAGGGGCTCCTTGATGGCCACGTCTTTGATGCAAGACATGTCAAAGCCGTACACGTTCTCCCACCCTGGGGAGGAGGGGAGGGGTGAGCCCGTGGGGGCACCCGGCCCCAAGCCTTCCCCACCCCTCGGGCTCCTCAGGCCCCAAGCTCACAATGGATCTTATAGTCTTTGTACTGCCGGTCCTCGATGGCCGTCACATACAGCGTGGCTCGGTCCGGGAAGATGAGGCCGTCGGGTGCCTGCACAGTGCAAAGGAGCAGGGCAAGGGCATGAAGGATGGGGGGCCTCGGCAACGCTGCCCCACTTTGTCTCCTTGCCCGTTTTGTCTCTTTATCCACCACCCCGGCCCCTGCCCTGGTCTGGGCTACCAACATGTCCCACGTGGACTCCTGAAGTGGCCCCCTCACCGGTCCCCAGCCTCAGCCCTTGGCTTGCTCCCCGGATGGCTGCCTGATGGCTCCCAGGAGCATCTAAGTCAGACCCTGTCCTTCAGAGGTCCTAAGGGATCCTCAGAAGCACGCCCCCACCCCCACTCCCCTGAGGAGTAAAGCAAAGTCTCTCAGGGGTCACGCAAGATCTGCACAGGCCCCTCCACCCCTTGCCCCCCAGTGCTCCTCCAGATCCTCATTCCACTACAACTTTGCCACTGCTCAACACACAGCAGGCGCACTCCTGCCCCAGAACCTACGCACTGGCTGAAATCCTCTGCCCAGTGTGCCTTTCCACTCAGATCCCACACAGCTCCTTCCCATCCTCTGTTCAGGTCTCAGTCACCTGGGAGGCCTGCTCTGACTTGAGCACCTGGGACCACAGCCTCCCAGTCCCTCCCTATCCCTGTGCCCTGCTATTGTTCTCTTCCCAGCACTAACTCTCCTGACACTGTACCATCTCCCTGTCCCTGTCTAGCTTCCAGTACTGGCTCCCCTCTGTCTTGGCTGTGGGCCTCCTAACATCTGTGTAGATGTATTCAATCCCCTGTATTCACTGCCACTGTGGGAAATACCTAACATGGCTTTCCTTTCCTGCCTAGACCCTGACATATGCTCAACAAAACAGCCGAAGGACCCTGGCCTG